TACAATACATATCTCGAGAATCTAGGCAATAATGAATCTAAAAATATGAAACAACTGTCAGGCGAATGATGGCTGACATGCGTTTCCTGAGGGCAAGTGAAGGGACATAAAATTATGCCATGTGTATAAACAAGTTATATACGTATGTGATCACAAACAGTTTTAGACAAATCGAATCGAACTGCAATAGCACAGTTCATACTATCAAGCACGAGTGCACAACATAGTTTGAAAGCGTGGCATAAACCTAACAACAGGATAATCGCCAATGATTGGGGAATTTAGGTGCAACAATTAAGCAAAGTCAATAATTTAAAAGATCTACAATTGATGGAGTGTTTGAGAAATTGCTACGATCCCCAACAAACATTTCTGAAGGAAGGCGGATATGTCATCTCCCACACCAGTTTGAAATAGGGCAAATTCTATATAAAGCAGTCAGGATGTATGTCACAAAGTAAGTTGATTCCTCTTTGCATACATTTTCTTCATACATATTTATTGATTTAAGTATCGAAATGCCTTCAATCAAAGCATTTCAATTATGAGCAATTTGTTCATTGCTGCAGGAAGTACTTTCAAAGAGAAACAAAGTTTTCTTTTTAAAGCTTAACGAGGTACAATAAGTTTTTCACCTACAAAAGGAAAAAAAGAACGCAAAAGAAATATATCAAACAACGAAGCTTGATGCACATGCGGGTTCATGCCAAGCCAATGGTGTCAAAGACAGCTCAGGCAGGTAGGGGAGCCAGGATGGTAACATTGCTAACCAAATAGACATGACAATAGTAGTATCAATTATAATCTCATTAGAGCAACTCCAAGAGGGAGTTGCATCAAGGGTGGCAACCCCGTATGTCACCCCATATTTAAAAATTTTCACTCCAAGGGGGGTGGCATCAAAGGTTGAAAAATAGCATCAAGACTCTTGGGGTGACATTTTTGGCAATTCCGGAGAGAGAAACGGAGAGGTTGTACATGAGTTGATGAATATAGATCTGTTAGATGAATATAAATTCAACGATTCATATAGATTGATAAATAAAAATATAAAAATAACACCACATTTTGGCATATGTCATTGGAGTAAATTTATAATTCAGAAATATCAAAATACTGTTCAATATTACAAATGAATGATTTGACACCCCAAAATGACAACTCCCTTTGGAGTTACTCTTAGAAAAGAGTTACAGAGGAATAAAATTGTCCACCCAAACTCTTGAAAAACAAGCTTCACAAGAAGCATTCACCGAAGCAATAAGCTAGTCTCACTTCTAAACTGATCAAACAAAGATCAAGAAAGGACAAACATATATGTCAAAGTACGCCTCCCAATGGATTTGATTTTGATCCTAATCCGATTAGCATGAATTAATATTTTTTATCAATAATTTAAAACTGAATTCAAAATTTTATATTTTACAGGTTCGAATTTAGATATACTTATATTTAATCCGAATTATTTATATATTTTTATATACACATTAAAGAAATTTAGTTAATTACCTTATTGGGATCGGATCAACTTTTTTGAATTTCAATTATCACGAATTCGATATAGACTACAAATGAAATCTGTCAAATTATTAGATCAAATTTGAATCGATCTTTTGAAATCGAATTCGGATCTAAACTCGATCAATTGATAAGTCTAGCTCTAAGTGATTTGAATTGAGAAGGCTTATTTTTTTTGGTTTGACACATAAAAACAGTCCTCATTGAGATCTTAGCTCATAATCATGCACCTAACGGCACATATACCCTTCAGAAAACTCGTGGCTGTGTTCCAAAAAAGCACTGTAGCGAACGTCCACGGTGGCATCGACACTGACCCAACACTAACCTTTCGCGTTGACGGTTCCACTGACCTATCAAATTTTGACAACGAAGTACTACACCCATCCATCTATAATTCCAAGATATTTTAATTCAACTTACAAGTCACTCCTCCTTTCCGTAACTCAGACTTGGAGACAAAAAACAGCAATTATGAAGAACTTGAGAGGTATTCTAAAAAGCCCCAAGGCTGGTGGAAATTAATTTGGGTAAGCTGTTTTAACACAGTATTCAGGTACTGTATTGGTATCAAATATTGTATAATACTAATAAGTTCTCTGCCAATCCTGAACTGATGATTGAAACTTCTGTTTGGATTCTTTAATTATAGAATTATTGTTTATTATTTTTTCTTAAAATGGCTTTATGTTTTGTCCACTTTAATTAAAGAACATTAAACTTAGTACATTCCCACGCATGCATCATTATATATATTATCTTACTCATTCCACTGTCATTTTGTTTGGCCCATCTAAATTCAAACAAAATGGCTGGACTTCCCTTCCCTTCCCCCAAAATTATACCCTTAAATAAACTGTAATTCTTGATGAAAACCTAAATAAAATTACACTAGTCAGATGCAGTAGCTTATGCCTAGAATGGTCTCTAATATTTTGCTTAAAACTTTTAAAAAAATTAAAGAACACAACAGCAACAGAATGTTGGGCCTTTTGGGTTGGTTGGTAATTAAGCCGAGTTACTCGGGTTCGGTTTAAATAGGACTTGACTTAAGTTCTGCTCAATGTTACTTAAATAGTGGATCGCTTTGGTACGTGATATAAATACGGATACATGATACGACACTTTCTCGGGTACGCGATACAATGGGAGTAAGTTAACTGGTACGATATTTTGGGTCGTAATTCGTTTTGGAACTCTTATGTAGATCGTTTTCATTACTACACAATATTATATATTACAAAACATTCATAAACACTAAGTTAGTTATTATTTATCTTATAATTGTAGTTAATTTTCAATTATCTAAAATAATATATAATTATAAATTTATATACATTTAGTCAATTAATATGCATTTTATATTTGTGCTACATATTCTAAAACGAATTGATTTAGAGTTAGTATTATAATTTGGGGTCGTCCATTTTGGTGATCTAGATCACGAACTTACCTCGTTTGGGATCGATGTACAAAGATCGTGGGTCGTTAAGGGTTTAGTGAATTGTGGTAACCATGGTTCGGCTCGCGTTCTAAATGATTCGAGCTTGAATAATCTTTTAGACTCGTTTAGATAACAAGCCTAAAAAGATTCGACTCAAACTCGTAAAACTCAACTTGTTTATATGTATAATAATCGAGTTACTCAGACTCGACTTAAGTTCAAATTGTTTTGGGCTCGAACTCAGCTCGGCTCATTTTCTAAATGAACCGAGCTTAAACAGTTTTTTAACCTCATTTAGAAAAACGAGTTCAAAGACTCGAATCGATTATCAGCCCTACCTTTGAGTTCTAAGGTGTGTAAAATTCTCCAACTCAACTCAACACAACACAACAAAACCTTGTATCAATCTTTGAGGTCGATCACATGAATCTTATCATTCCATTGTACTCCATCAATCACCGGTTGCGGAAAATTCTCCTAGATATAAATCATTCGACATAATATCCTACAAATTTGTGAAATCAAATATTATTCAGCATGATGTCCTACAAATTTATGCAGATCTCTTTTGTTCTCCGAGTGGTTGTTTTCAGCAATAAAGAAGTACCAGCAACAATTAATCACTTGTCGCCTTCTCACTGGAGGCCAAGTGCATGTATTTCCCTTCTTTCATACAAAAAAATTCCAGCTACACTCAGATTTTATTATTAAGCACAGAGATTTGCAGGGTAGGGGACCATGAACTGCTGGCCAATTACCTAAATTTTGAGGTGTCCATCTGTTTATTCCTCCATAATTGAGCTTGTGTTCCTCTCATTTGTTTGCCTGCCATGGCTGATTGATTCCTCACTCTCCTGCAGCTGAACTCCCCTTAGCTATGGCTGCCTTTCCTAATTCACCCACTTAAATATGGCTACCTTATATTCCCTGACAAACCTGGCCTTAATGCTAAAATGATCTGGGGTTCCCATGGTGCAAATCAAAAAAACAACCCCCATTCCCTACCACAAGGTTCCAAAATATCACCCAATATCGATACGACTCGGTCGGAACGATATTCGACTTGACACCTTGCAATTCAATAAAATTCCATGTTCCGTGTAAACCACAAGTCTCATGCAACTCAAGCCAAGTTGTTCGTGATTTCTTCAAGTCAATCCCAAGTCATCATCGCCAAATCCAGCGATAACGTTCTGTAACAGTACAATATGCTTTGAATCTCTTGTCATGTTCAACTTCATTGTTGTGGTTTGCCCTATACCAATCCGTAACGCTACAATTGATGGGTTGTCCTCATATAACCGATACCATAAACTTCAACTATGGTTTTTTTTTTTTTTTTTTTGGGGGGGCGGGGACCTAATTTCTGTTTCGGAGGTGCCATATCCTCTTAACTCATAGGGTCATAAGGAGAAGTCATATTCCTCTGCTTCAAGTAATTGGGCTTCAATAAGAGCATTAAACTCCTGGAAATAGGGTAGGTAGGCATTCAAGATCTCATACTAAATAGGGCTCTCCAAAACTCTCATAAGATCTCTCCAATTTATACCCAAGAGGCTAACTCAGAACAACTATAAATAGTAAATGAAACTTAACATGATCTGGGTACCTATCTTTTGAAACTTGGTAAGTCTTGGAAATACACAAGATTGTGAAATCAGCTACTAGCCTACTACTATTATTTAACACTTCTCTAACCACAGCTACTGTTCATGGAAAGAGACATCTTCTCCTCCTATGCTCCCCAAAATCCGAGCAGCAATAGAGATGTATATGATCAGTTACTCCTTCAATTCTTTTTGCGGGTTCAAAGAAGTTGTCAAGGCATGTGCTGTTTCCATTGGAATGCAGTAAAGTATCAATTAAACAGAGAGAAAGCTCTCTCTTTCATCCACATGAAAAATTGACCATTTCTAAATCAGAGGGAAATACCCTGTCTGTTCCTCTCAATCTCTTTTTTACTTTTGCCTGTTTAATTTGAGAAATCAAAACAAACATCAAATCATTGTCACTATGCAATTAGTTACCAAAAACTCGGGTCAAATTATCTGGCCTTTCTCCATCTAGTATTGCATTTCTATGAGAAACCAGTGCCAGATTTGGGATCACAGATCTGTTTTAAGTAGTGGAAATAAGTGAACTTGATCATAACATAATAGTACTTTCTCATAGTCCTAACTCAGGAACTGAAAAATTAAGCAAACAGTCGCAACATCAAAGTCTAGCAACAAAACACAAAGCAACCCACAGAGACTCAAAAAGTTGAGCTGTGATAGCCCACTCGAATTTGAAAGCAAAATTAAAGCATAGACAGTAAAATTGAATAGCAAACCGCAATCAGAAAACCTGAAACAGACTCAGAATTCTTCTTCCACGCGGTAGTGGCCACTGGATAAATTGACTGAAAACTCTCCCCCCTTGCTTGACTCAATCCAATTAACAGCTCCAACGTCAGCAAACTGCCTGTTCTTGGTTGCTCTTGCAGACTACGTACGGATTATTTCCTGCAAAACGGGTTCAATGTAACAGTAGATTTGCAGTGGGAAAATTACATATTGCTGTGGAATAATCACAGAACACTGAATAATAATAGAAAATTAAACGAATTTGGGCAATGGGTATCGAAGAGTTCACCTTTTAGCTAGAGAGAGGGAGAAAGTTTCAGTTTTGAGCTAAATCAATGGCGAGAATCGGAGGAAGCAGAGGACGGCTTGTCGGAAATGCCGTCGTGTTCCTCTTCTTCACCTTGGATTCGTGCTGGAATACGAAAATCGGAGAATCCGCCTACTCCAGAGGCAAATCCAATGCCAGACATTGAAGATGGATGGATGGGTAGTACTGTTTGATATTGCCGATGATGATCAGAGTTGCTGATAGCAATGGCGGACGGGTCCATCCAAGCACGAACCCAAGGTGTGTTACTGGACTGAAGGGGTCCCCTCTGATAAAACTGCTGTGTTTGGCCGAACAACGGCGGCGTTGGTGGTGAATTGAAGATAAATCCTCCACCACCACCACCACTAGCAGTGTCTCCACCACCATTCCAAGCCACCATTCTCTGGGTCTCGGACCAATTTGCCCCATCAAACACAAGTGGGGTTGTTCCAGAGAAAAGTGCTTGTTCACTGTGATTTGTGGAATGCTGATGCTGAGTTTGTTGGTTATGGTGGTGGAGAAAAGTGGGATCTTGAAAAGACTGAAGAGAGAGCCTCAGATCTTGGCTCTGATTCCTGGGTCTTGATAGCAAATTGCAATCCGGTGGTGGAAAGCCATGAAACTGAATTGCAGACGAATTGGTCTCCGTTGAAGTAACCATTGGGAAGAAAGACTTAATAGTATCAGCAATGGCATCAGAATCCAAAGATGGTGGCAAAAAACTCGAGCTGTTCTCGTCGCCTGCGTTGCTAGAAGGACCGGTAATGGTATCCACCACATCGCGGTGGAGGATACGAAGCTGCTGAAAATGATCTTCTTGCTGATTTTGACCTTGGTTTTGGTCAATATTCGGAGTTGCTATTGAAGCAGTAATGGGATTCCATGCGGGTAGCTCCGCGAGCTCGTCTATGGCGGGTTTGGCCTTTTTGATGAGCCAATCCACGGCTTTGCTGGGGCGGTCGAAGCCAAGGCGGTCCTGGACGTCGTAGAATTGAATGGCGG